ACTAGATAATGTTCTGTTTCAGTAGAAAGAAGCCCAGGAATCTGGTCATGTTACATTTTAAACCTTTGGAAAGTTGAAGTTAAACTTTGTTTCTGAGATAACTAGAGTTTACAGGTGGTTCTCATGTTGTAAGAAAGAGTACAGAGAGACCAGGAGTTCTCTGTATGTTTTCCTCAAAGGCAGTATCTTGCGAAACCGGAGTGGACTATTAGAGCCAGAGCATTGTCACTGATCCAGTCAAGATACAGGACAGTCCATGGAGACCTCTGAAACAAGTGAATCACCTTAGTAAGCAACTAGAATGTTCCCGGAGGCCAGAAACATTCCTTTAAATTACAGAACTTCTTAGGTCTTAGAAGATACATCACCCTGGGAATTTCACAATGACCAACAGGCAGATAGCAGGGTTGGAGGAAATATTTACTTAACCTTTCTTTTCTTTTTCCCCACCAGGAGTCTCAAGCAATTGATAACCTGTTTACTGTAAGGTAACACAAAGGCAGCTTTCAAAGCCAAGCTGGAGCTGCCTATTGGAATCCATTCCTTTTAAACCCAGCACCCCAGAGGCAGAGGCAGAGGCAGACAGATCTTTGAGATTGAGGTCAGCCTGGTCTACAGAGCACATTCCAGGACAGCCAGGGCTACAAAGAGAAACCCTGTCTCAACAAACAAACAAACAAACAAACGAAGTGGCAAACACCTTTAATCCCAGCACTTGGGAGGCAGAGGCAGGCGGATTTCTGAGTTCGAGGCCAGCCTGGTCTACAGAATGAGTTCCAGGACAGCCAGGGCTACACAGAGAAACCCTGTCTCGAAAAACCAAAACCAAAACCAAAACCAAAACCAAAACAAAAACCGATTTTGTGCATGGTTAGCAGGTTAAAATTGATCCCTGGGATCCATATGGTGGAAGGAGGGAACCAGCGGCACATGACATAGAGCCTTCAGCTGTGTTCCCCTGCTTGTCCTCGATGGCAAGGCACGTGGAAAAGCATATAAATACTCAGGATTTCCTTTCAATAAAGGAGACTTGATCAGACCATCTGTCTTGTCTTCATTCTTCGAATCTCTTGCCCCTCCATCCCACTCTCTCTCTTGCTAGACCCTGACCCACAGACTGAAGAAGCAGCTTGGGTCAGGACACAAACTCATATATAGCCCATGTTAGTCTTGAACTAGTGGAAATCTTCTTGCCTCAGCCTTAGTACTGGAACTGCAGGAGTGGGCCAGCATTCGTGGCTTTATCAGTGTTTACTGTAACCTCTGAGAGTTCTGAAGGTTGTTTTGGACAAAAATGTTCAAAGTCTTAGGCAAATATATGAGCAAACAGGTGATGGGGGGGGAGAGCCGCTCCCCTCAAGGGCAGATTAATCATAGTGAAAATTATAAAACATCCTAAATAGCCTCTGAATGAATTTGAAAGGGAAATCTTCTCTGCAACCTGGAGAGGTCACATGACCTTTAAAAGCACGAGGAAAGGATGAATCATAGAGAAGTACATAAGAACTTGCAGGATATACATATATATATATATATATATATATATATATATATTTATATATGTGTGTGTGTGTGTGTGTGTGTGTGTGTGTGTATGTATATGTGCATATATATGCACTTGGGCAGTGAGAAAAACTTTTGAGAAAAAAAAACAACAGTGCCAGGCACAGATGCTCTATAGACATCTCTGATTAGTTTTTTCTGTTACTGGTGTCCAACCAGTTCCTTTCCCAAAATGACACTACATCCTGAGACACAGAAAGGAAGACGAGACAGTGCATGCAGAAAGGGCCATCTAAGCCACCGCCTCCCCCTCCTGTTATGATGTGGGTGTTTTCCCAAGTTAGCAGTGTTCTCACTGGTTCTATCTCTAATGTCACACAGATTTAGGGAAGTTTTCTGAGCTTCCTCTGACTGTGCTGCAGGTGCACAGAGCTCAGAGAGGAACTAGGTAACCAGTGTGGATTTCAAATTCCTGCTGTCTTAGGGAGAGGAATAACCAGCATGGCAAGGTTTTTGTCTTGTTTATTTCTACCCCAGAGCTCAAGGTCCCCCATCATAAGAATTCCAACTTCATACTACAAAGGAATTCAGTACCGAGTCCAGGAATGGGAAGTGGACAAAACTTACTGAAGTTCCACATGACCCAAATACCTTAACAAACAAAAACAAACAAACAAACAAACAACAAAACCCTCAACAGCAACAGAAAACCCAGAGGAAGAAAATAAAGGATTTTCAGGTTGTAAAAGATAGCTAAATGATAAAGAGTTTTTAAAAAGCCAAAGCCTAGGTGAAAGGAACAAAATACTTGGCAGGAGGGGCTGGAGAGATGGTTCAGAAACTGAAAGCAAAAGGGCTGGAGTTGGATTCCCAACACGCATATCAGACAGACAGACAGACAGACACACACACACACACCCCACACCAGTAGGTAGGCAGTTAGGGATTGGGGAGTTTTTGTTTTTGGTTTTGGTTTTTTTGTTTTTGGTTTTGGTTTTTCGAGACAGGGTTTCTCTGTGTAGCCCTGGCTGTCCTGGAACTCACTCTGTAGACCAGTCTGGCCTCGAACTCAGAAATTCTCCTGCCTCTGCCTCCCAAGTGCTGGGATTAAAGGCGTGCGCCACCACTGCCTGGCCTTGTTTGCTTGTTTTTAATGGAGGTGGGGTTTCCCTTACGTAATCCAGGCTGGCTTCAAGCTTACTGTATAGCTAGTAATGACAAACTCCTGCCTCCACCTCTCATGAACTGGCATGTGATACCACTTCCATTTTTTTCTATGATAATATTCTTCCAATAACTCTAACAGTAACATAGGAAACTTTTCTTCTTTTTGACCATCAGTCCAGTTCCATTTTCCTCTCCAGAAGTGCTGGTTGTTTCTCTGTACATATACATAAATAAGTGCAGCATATCCTTTAACATTATATAACAGTATATCCTTTAACATTATATAACAGTATATCCTTTAACATTATATACATGATACTATACTATACTATACTATACTATACTATACTATACTATACTATACATTCTTGCCACTTTTTGTCACTTCACAAAATATTTGAAGAGGGTTTTTGCTTTGTTTGGTTTTGACACAGTAGCTCGGGCTGGCCCAAACTTGCAGCAACCCTCCTGCCTTAGCCTCCCAAGTGCTGGGATTATAGGGACGCAGGTTTGGCTTTTTTGGATGTTCTTTTTACATCTTCCTCCCACACATTTAATAGTGAACTAAAAGTAGTCAAAAAAAAAAAAAAGTCAGACAACATTAAGGACCAGACATCAGATCCTTCAGCTAGTACTTGTACTTTGTGTGTGTGTGTGTTAAATGAATCTGTGTGTTGTTGTTGTTGTTTGATTGTTTTGGTGACAGGGTCTCCTGTAGTGCCAGCTGGCTGACCTTGAACTCCTCTTCTTCATCTTTATCATCAGAGTGCTAGGATTATAGACGTGCCCCTACATGTCCCATTGTATTCAGTGCTGGAGAATGAACTTATGGCTTCATGAATGCTGGCAAGCACTGGACTAAGCTACATTCCTAACTCACTAGGACTTTAAACACACCAAACACAATAGCTACTTCTTTATTGAACAGCCACTGAAAGGGGAAAAAGAAATCCATTCAGTATCAGCTTTACAACTCCCCCCTCCAGCTTCTCTGTTCATTTTTATAAAACAGGCATAACCACTTCTTCGGTATAGTTGTAATCTGAACACAAGATCAAGTATTGGCCAAATGTGGTGCTTGCCTGTTGTGGTGGTTTGGATAAGAAGTTTCCATATAGTCTTAGGTGTTTGACTCTTGGTGCTCAGTTAGTGGCACGATTGAGTAAGTATGGCCTTGCTAGAGGATATATGTCACTAGGGACCTGGCTTTGAGGTTCAGAACCACAGGCAATTCCAAGTTCAGTCTCTCTGCTTTGTGCTTTGCAGGTCTAGATGTAATCCCTCCTCACTGCTCCAACCTCTATGACTGCTTCTTGCTTCTTGCTGCCGTGCTTCCCACACCACAGTGGACTCCTAACCCTCTCAAATTGAACTGCAAGCTCAAATAAATTCTTCTGCAAGCTGTCTTTTTGTTTTGGTTTTTTTTTTTTGTTTTTGTTTTTCAAGACAGGGTTTCTCTGTGTAGCCCTGGCTGTCCTGGAACTCACTCTGTAGACCAGGCTGGCCTCGAACTCAGAAATCTGCCTGTCTCTGCCTCCCAAGTGCTGGGATTAAAGGCGTGTGCCACCACTGCCCGGCCTTCTGCAAGCTGTCTTGATCATGTCTTATCACAGTAACAGAAAAGCAATACGTGCACCTGTCATACCGTCACTTGGGAAATAGAGGCAGGAGGATTAAGAGAGTTCAGGCACACCCTAAACTACACAGTGAGTTCAAATCCAGTCTGAGCTACTTGCTACCCTGTCTCAAAAACAAACAAATGAACAAATAAATAAAAATCCTCCCCCTCCACTATCACTAAACTAACCTGCTTTCCGCTGTAGTAAGAAGCCCTTTGTCCCATTACCCACACACTCCCAGGTCTTCAGTACTTCATCTTTCTCTAGGTCCTGAACAGGTGCACTTTTTGGTTGCCTCAGGCTATTTCTAACTTTATAAGGCTCTTGACCCTTGAAAAGGTCTGGGCCTAGCTCTCTCTTACCCTGACCCTACAATGACCCTTCCATCTTTCCATTCCAGTAAATTCTGGGGCTTCCTAAACAGGGTTCCCCAGGGATCGCCACTATCTGGACTTCTAGTGATAGCTTGTGTAAACTTCTCTAGGGAATCCAGGCCTGGGAGCTTATGGAAACATCACCTACTCACTACACCCATTCAGACGGATAGGCATTAATTTTCCCACCAAAGGGGGGCGCTGGGCATGATGGGCAGGCGGCCAATTTCCTCCTCCGTGAGGTAGGCGGCGCTCCCTGGTCGGGTGACGTCATCTCCCCGCGTCGGGGGCGGGATGCGCTTAACGCCATCTCCGGGCGCCCGGTGGGGGGGGGGCCGCTGGGTGTGGGGCGGCTCCGGGGCCGGGGATGGCGGCGGCCGCGGTGGCGGCGGCTCCGGGACGAGCGGGAGGAGTCCTGGGAGCTCCGTGAGATGGGCCGGTGAGTGTCGCCTGGAGCGGTGGCCGCTGGGCTGGCCTGAGGCCAAGCAGGCCTGTGTTCGGAGCTCTAGAGGAAGGGCCCCCCTAGAGAAGCCCGTTGCCTTACCCGGCCGAGGGCCCCCTAAACAGCGGGCAGGGAGAGCGAAAGAGGCCGTGCCTAGCCCTCTAGATGCTGCCTTCCCGCCTGGCCCAGAAGGCGGCCTCAGGCCCTGATGCCCCGGTGGTGTTGTCCCCGCGGGCCAGGATGTCCGAGTTCTCAGGGCGGGAAGGGGCCCCCAAACAAGGAAGCGTCGCCAGCGGGGCCTGGGCTCAGCTCCACATCTGACCCCCGACTCCCTAAGTGTAGAATCTCCCAGTTCAGGCCTTTCCTCCTGTCGGAACAAGGATCATCAAAAGCCAGCATCCCTGGTCTCTCTACCAAGGCTGCTCCCTTTTTGTGGGGCGTACCTCTTCCTCTGAATTTGGGTCTCCCTCAGTGTGCAATCTCCTGATTCCATTCCTTGCGTGAAGAGGAGCTGCCTTCTCGGCTCTGTTGTCAGGTCTCTGGAATGGTTCCGTTGCCCCATAGTTCAGTTAGGTTCACAAGTTGTGTCATTTCCCATGAGAAATTCTCCAAAGCTGCTCCATACACCCACACCCTGGTTTCAGATTTTGAAGTGTTTTACGTTGTGGGAACCTGGTGGGCAGGCTGGGCTTTTTTTTTTTTTTTTTCCTCTTTCCGTCCTTTCATTATCTTCTGTTTGCTAACTCCTCGGTGACCCATAGACAGGTTTCCTTAGCTTTTTTTGTTTGTTTGTTTGTTTTAGCTACAGAGAGCAAGCATCATTTTGGGAATTAAGAAAATGAAAGAAAGCTGAGTGCTTTCAATTAAACTTTTGATGAAGAATGAATGCGTGACTTGTACTCACTTTGTGATTTATTTGTGGCATTAGGAATCTGTTTTCCCACATTTCCATCTTTTGTGTACCCTTGAACCGTCCCTATCTTAAGTAAATGTTGCCTTCAGTTGGATCGAGCTTGCAATATACTGACTTTGACAGAACCGGCTGTTTCTCTGTACTAGTCAATACCGCTAACTCACTTGTTAAGACTATGTTCGGTTTTTGTTTTGTTTTCTTCTGAGAGGGTCTTATGGAGCACAGGCCGACTTCTGACTGTATAATCGAATGTAGTTGGTGATTACCTTGAACTTACAATCCTCTTCTTTCTGCCTCCAAAGTAGTAGGATTGCAGGTGTCCACCACCATTTCCAATCTGTGGGGTGCTGGAGATCAAACCTAGGGCTTGATGCGTTCTAGTCAGGCACTTTACCAACTGAGCTGTGTCCGGAATCTTGAAAGGCCATGTTCTTTAATTATTGATGTTTCTGGCAAGTGTAGATTCAGATATTGGTAGCCTAGTAATAGTGTTGTTCCCCATTTGTTAGCTACATAGAATCAAAATGGCGTTTTCATTTTCTTTCACATTTTACTAAGTACTTAGTATGAAGTTGTCGTGCAGAAAATTTTACGTGTGTGTGTATGCGCGTGCACACACACAGGAGCTCTTTTAATTTTACTTAGAAAATCTGTTAATATAGCTTTCACTTTAAGTAACTCCCCCTTGACCTCCTTTTTTGCCCCAGAAACATAAATAATTGTTCCTTTTCCTCTAGTGACAGCGTTCTTATTTAATCTCTACATCCTTGTAGTCATAGGCCCTGAGTAAATCTGAAACTCTGGCTTCTCATGGCTCACATGTAGACAGTATTAAGTCTCGTTTTTATTTGTGCATTTAAGCAAAATTTGGATTGGAAATGAGCTTAATCATTGGGGTGTGGGGCAAAGAATGAAGAATATGATGGTAAATTAACACATGCAAATTTCTTTCCAGGGATGTCATAAACTAAAGCATAAAAGATTTTTTTTTGGTTTTGTTTCTTGTGTTTTGATTTTTTTGCTTTTAGGAGTCCTGTGTCAGGCCGGGCGGTGGTGGCATACGCCTTTAATCCCAGTTCAAGAGTTCGAGGCTAGCCTGGTCTACAGAGTGAGTTCCAGGACAGCCAGGGCTACACAGAGAAATCCTGTCTCGAAAAACCAAAAAAAAACCAAAAACAAAACCAAAAAAGAGTCCCAGGAATGGAGCTCAGGTCTTGGCAGCAAGTGCATTTACCTACTGAGGCATCTCATTAGCCCTGGATTTTGTTTTTTTCCTTCAGTCTCCTGAGCACTCGGGGTAAATGTGCTATTACCACTGGGTTGAGAATGAAGCAAGAGTTTAGAGACTTCATTGACTTTTTTTTTCTTTTTCTCTTTTTTTCTTTTTCGAGACAGGGTTTCTCTGTGTAGCCCTGGCTGTCCTGGAACTCACTCTGTAGTCCAGGATGGCCTCGAACTCTCGAACTCAGAAATCCGCCTGCCTCTGCCTCCCAAGTGCTGGGATTAAAGGCGTGCGCCACCACCGCCCCGGCGACTTCATTGACTTTTATTTTTTTGTTTGCTCGACTGTTTTTGTGGCTTTGGAATCACCTTTCATGATGGCCCTGGGGAAGACAGGAGCTCTGCCTCCAGCTTATGTCAGCCTTGTGTCTTCTAGGCTCCCAAGCCAGAGGGGAGGACACTTGCTGCAGCTGCTCAGAGGCACCACCAGAAGCTCAGGTAATAGAAACACTTTGGATTCCTTGTTTCAGGAAAAAAACAAACAAAACAAAACAAAAAACAAAAAAATAACCCTGGCACATGACAATGAAAAACAGAATTCAGCCTAATTGGAAAAATTATTGCCAAGGTTCATATGCATTGAACCTTTTTTCTGAATTTTTTTTTTTTTTTAAACCAAAACAGGTTCTCATGTAAGCTCAGGCTGGCCTCTGATTCATTAAGGCCAGTGTCTCACTAACGGTGACCTCAAACTTCTAAACTCTTATCTCCGTCTTCCAAGTGCTGGAACTATATGCATGCACCGTCACAGGTGTTCTAAAAAGATGCTTTTTGACAGTGGATAAAAGTGATTACAGAAGCTGGGTGTATTAGCACACGCCATTGATCCCAGCACTTGGGAGGCAGAGGCAGGAGGATGTCTGAGTTTGAAGCCAGCCTGGTTTATAGAGTGAGAATTCTACGATGGCCAGGGCTACATAGAAAAACTCTGTCTGAAAAGAACCCAAACCAAATCTACCCCCCATCCCACCCCCCAAAAGTCGGGGAGAGGTATAGAGAGTGACACTAAGAGAGGAGAGAGAGAAGTAAACGCCCATGTGTGGAGACATGGAACTAGAATTGTGTGACATAATACTCAGAGCAGAGCTGCAGTGAACAGGCACTGGAAGCAGAAACAAGAAAAAAGAAGGCAAATTGAAGGTGATGAGTGAGAAGAAAGAAGTCTTTTAGACTGGAGAACAGGAAGTCATGCATGAGGTCAGGATTGTTTGGTTACTAGTCAGAGAGATTGGAGAAGCAACAAGCTGGAGAGCAAGCTGACACAGTCACTCTTCTCATGGGGTCAGAGCTGGGATGCAAAGTTTCTTGAAACAACAACAAAAACACTCCATTTTATGGTATGTTTAGGGAACAAGGTTTACAAACTTCAGCACTTAGTAACATGAATTTAGCCAGTCTTAGGTTGAAGAGATGGGAGAAGGTGAGGTCATAACCTAAATTAGCCTGGGGAAAGGAAGCAAGAGTGAGGTCATACATTCAGGGAAAGAGGGTGGCATATGAATCTTTGATAGCAAAAGGAGAAATTGAGGAAAGAGCCAGTAGCAAAGACGTGTGCTACCAACCCTGATCAAGGGAGGCGACTGAGAAGAGGTAAGGGCCTCAGGAAAAAGCATGACTAACCCAGAAGCTGCCAGTGAAGAGGTTCTGGAGCCCTTCTGGTTACTTATGTATCTTGGCTGTGCATTCTTGTAGCTCTTGGTGGTTTTCCTGCCTCTTGTCTTGTTCTAGGCTGACAGGTGAACAGGCAGCCTCCTTCTCTGCCCCCTCTCATGCCTCCTTTTTGTACGGTTGATGCTTGGTTTGACTTGATTCCCTGTGTTACTTTTCTCTGCCTCTGGTTTATTCCCTAGCAGATGTGGGCACCACAGCCAGCAGCAGAGTGGGGTGCAGGGAAACCACAGAGAAATCACTTCTGATGCCCAAAGGAGCAAGCAGACTCCATCCAGGCTCCGGGAACACCACAAAGCAATATGAAACCTGTTCATGAGCGGAGTCAGGAATGCCTTCCACCAAAGAAACGAGACCTCCCTGTGACCAGCGAGGATATGGGGAGAACTACCAGCTGCTCTACAAACCACACACCCTCCAGTGATGCTTCTGAATGGTCCCGAGGGGTTGTGGTGGCTGGGCAGAGCCAGGTGGGAGCCAGAGTCAGCCTTGGGGGTGATGGAACTGAGGCCATCACTGGTCTGACAGTAGATCAGTATGGCATGCTGTACAAGGTGGCTGTGCCACCTGCCACCTTCTCACCAACTGGCCTCCCATCTGTTGTGAACATGAGCCCCTTACCCCCCACATTTAATGTAGCGTCTTCACTGATTCAGCATCCAGGAATCCCCTATCCCCCAGTCCACTATGCCCAGCTGCCATCCACCTCACTGCAGTTTATTGGGTCTCCTTACAGCCTTCCTTATGCTGTGCCACCTAATTTCCTACCCAGCCCTCTCCTCTCTCCTTCTGCCAACCTTGCCACCACTCACCTTCCACACTTTGTGCCATATGCCTCACTCCTAGCAGAAGAAGCTACTCCTCCCCCACAGGCCACATCCCCAGCTCAGTCATTTAACAAATCCTCTTCTGCCACCTCCCCCGCCGGCCAGTTGCCACATCACTCGAATACTCAACCACTGGATCTTGCTCCAGGCCGGATGCCCGTTTATTATCAAATGTCTAGGCTACCTGCTGGATATACCTTGCATGAAACTTCAACAGCAGGTGCCAGCCCCATTCTTACCCCTCAGGAGGGCCAGTCTGCTCTGGAAGCAGCTGCTGCCAATGGACAGAGACAACGAGAGCGAAGTGTAAGACGAGAGAGTGAAGCCCTTGACTCCACCAGCATCAAGGGTGAAAGCCAAGGACTGGTGCCGGTGGTAGAATGTGTGGTGGATGGACAGTTGTTTTCAGGTTCTCAGACTCCGAGGGTGGAGGTGGCGGCGCCAGCGCATCGAGGGACTCCAGACACCGACCTAGAGGTCCAGCGGGTAGTCGGCGCCTTAGCTTCTCAGGACTATCGTGTGGTGGCAGCTCAGAGGAAAGATGAACCCAGCCCTCTTAACCTATCCCATCATGCCCTTGACCATCAGGGTGAGGGACGAGGGTCAGCCAGGAATCCTGCAGAACTGGTGGAGAAAAGTCAGGCCCGTGTGTTCTACCCTCAATCCCATCAGGAACCAGTAAAACACAGACCTTTACCCAAAGCAATGGTTGTAGCCAATGGCAACCTGGTGCCCACTGGAACTGACCCTAGCCTGTTGCCTGTGGGCTCAGAGATCCTGGTTGCATCAAGTCTGGACATGCAGGCTAGAGCCACCTTCCCAGACAAGGAGCCAACGCCACCTCCTGTTACCTCCTCCCACGTGCCCTCCCATTTCATGAAAGGCGCCATCATTCAGCTGGCTACAGGGGAGCTGAAGCGGGTAGAGGATCTCCAAACCCAGGATTTTGTGCGTAGTGCCGAAGTGAGTGGGGGGCTGAAGATTGACTCTAGCACAGTCGTGGATATTCAAGAGAGCCAGTGGCCTGGATTTGTTATGCTGCATTTCGTGGTTGGTGAACAGCAGAGCAAAGTGAGCATTGAGGTGCCCCCTGAGCACCCCTTTTTTGTATATGGCCAGGGCTGGTCCTCCTGCAGCCCTGGGCGGACTGCACAACTCTTCTCTCTGCCCTGCCATCGGCTACAGGTGGGAGATGTCTGCATCTCTATCAGTTTACAGAGCTTGAACAGTAACTCAGTTTCTCAGGCCAGCTGTGCTCCCCCAGGGCAGCTGGGTACACCCCGAGAAAGGCCTGAGAGGACAGTCTTGGGGCCCAGAGACCTATGTGACAGTGAGGGGAAGAACCAGCCTTCAGGAGAGGGTTCCCGGGTGGGAGAGCCCTCCCAGCCTGAGCCTGGTGCTCAGGCCTGCTGGCCAGCCCCAAGCTTCCAAAGATACAGCATGCAAGGGGAGGAGGCACGGGCTGCGCTGCTCCGGCCCTCTTTCATTCCACAGGAGGTAAAGCTGTCCATCGAAGGGCGTTCCAATGCAGGAAAATGAACCTCTTTCCCAACCCAGGACTGGGCTTTCTCCCCAGAGGTGAGCCTCACCGTGAGCATCGAGAGGATGTGCACAGCCCAAGCAGAGGATGGCTCTCTTGGCAGTGAGATTTGGGGGGAAATAGGCGTTAAGACAGCCTCCCAAAGCAGGATGTGTTGCTCGTTATCCTCTCAGGACAGCTCTAGAGGGTGCTGAGATGGGGAATTGCAGACTTGGAGCAAGAAAGGGTAGGAGTGCACATAGGATAAGAAACATTCCAAAATCAGGGCCTCCCTGTTTTTTCCTACTCATCCCTGGCTCCTGCAAGGGAAAGTACAGGCTTTGGGAGCAGGTGGCAGAGGGAGGAAGCAAAAGAAAGAGCCAACAATGATGATCACAGCTTATAGTAGCAGTAAAACTGTTTTCCTTCTTTTTTCCTGTCTCCCTCCCCTCCTTTGTGGTGGGAGGGCAGGAGGCCCAATGGTTGAAAATAAGAGGGTTCCCACCCAGAACTCTTCTTGTGAGAGACGTGCACTTTAAAGGGTGGTTTTGTTACAGATGTTTATGGCGGGGGTTTGGGGTGGGGCAGCACCATGATCTACGGAACTATGCTTGGTCCTTCGCTTCTGACCATCTCACCTCACCATTCCGCTATAAGGCTTTCTAGCAGTTTAGGGTCAGGAGAGAGAGAGAGAGAGAGAGAGAGAGAGAGAGAGAGAGAGAGAGAGAGAGAGAGAGAGAGAGAGAGAGAGAGAGAGAGAGAGCCCTTCAGGTTTGAGAATGAAGGACTGTCTTGCCAGGAACCCAGTCGGGGCTGTGGAGAAAAGATTTGACTGATAGATGATGGAACTTAGGCAAAGCTTTTGAAAGGCCACTAACCTAAGCTCCCACTTAACCTGTCAGGCCCGCTTGCTTTGATACTTCATTCAGTCTGTAGTAGTAACTTCAGAAAGACCTGGAGGGCCTTTACCCCTAGGCACCCACACTCCTCCATTGTCTGTCTATGTTGTGCCTTAGTGCCTGCACTGCTCCTACCCTTCTGCTGCCTGACCTCTGCATGGCGTCTTGACCTGGGCCTCATGTGTAGCTGCACTGCCTTTGTCCACTAAGACCTCTAGTTTTTGGTGTATAAGGGTCCCTGGTTTCCCTATCAGCTATAATTTTTATATTTAGAAACTCAAAATCATGTCCTCTTCCACTGGCAGCAATATAGTGGGGAAACAAGAAAGAAACTGTGCCCTAGGCTGGGCATTCCCACTCCAGTGGATGTCTTGGCCTCTTCCCATTGCAGTCCATTGCCTCTCAGCATTTCAGCCTAAGTTGTTCCCTCTCAGTATCAGCTCTGAAAGTCTAGAGTAGTCTCTGTAACATCTTAGCAGATGTTTCCTTGTATGGTGGTGGATTCTTCTAGAAAGAGTATTTTCTGTCTTGGTTGTATTTGCTACATCTGTCTGTCTTATTCCCACATTTCCCCTACAGCTTGCAGTTGTGTCAGCTTGGACTGTAGGATTCCATTGGGTATTAGGATTTAGATTTCCCTCCCCCCACCAACTTTCAAGTGGTTGAGTAATTTTTTGTGAAGGTTTTTTTTTGGGGGGGGGGATGGGGGGGAGACAGCTTTCTTTAGACTCTTGAAGGCAACTCAGGGTATTGTCCACCCAGCTGTGTAGTTAGACTTCTCCCAGGGAATGATTGTGGCATTTCCTTCATAGATAGACTTGGACCAGCCATCTGGATATGGCCTGTCATCAGGAGTCCTACACTTCTGAAGTATGAGCAAAACTTAAGGCAAGTCTTGTGATCTCTTTTTCACTTCCTCCCCAGCTGCCAAATGGGGATAAATAATCTTACCTACCTCCTGGGGGAGGGGGAGTTCTGAGAATGGAGTCATTCTTAGTGTTCAGGTGCTAAAGGTTGTTCCCTTTGGGAACAGAGTGACAGAAACTGGCTAGTTTGCTCTAAATCCTACATTCTGTTTCATACCTTGAGAGCAGATCCCTGGTCAGCGAGCTTTTAGGGGGCATTCAAAGGATGCTGCTTAACCTGACCGCAAGTACTGAAGTCTCTGTGTTATGTCAGAGTCAAACACCGGCCTTGTGCTACATTGGAGAGCACATTCCTCCCCTTCTTCTGCCCCCATTCTCTGCTGCTTCTCTGGCTTGTTTCCTACAGTGGGGGCCTGTGGGGTTGAGTCTTGAGGAATTCTCTCAGATGAAAGCTGTAGGAGAAGGCCTCATCTCCTGACTGTTAGATGACCAACTCATTCCTAGGTATTATTGCATGTGTGGGCTTCTCACAAGGCCCCTTTCCTCAAAAGGTTCATCATGGAGTTTAGTGACATGCACTGTAGATGCTCAAGAAGTGTCTACCCAGGATACCACAGGGCTTCTTCCTCTGGGGGCAAACATGTAATTGGCTAGTATTTGAAGTCAAATCGCTCTGTACTTGGACGGCTTGTAGCTGAATCCTTGGAAAAAGAAATTGTTAAGGGCCTTGACAAATTGGGCGCTGACCTTTCTGCTGTGGTTCCTTTTCTTATCCCTGTTTGGTAAAAACAAAACAAAAACAAAAATGGCAACTCCCTTAATGTGGCGTCATGCATATGTAACTTGATTTTGCTGAGAGCTACCTTTACTGAAGTATGCACCCTAGAAAAGAAGTGTGTGCTGATGCTTGTCAGAGCTGTGGCAGTACTTAACCCGAGTATGAAAGGGACATGAATGGCTTTTAGAGTGAGCATTTCAATGGTGTGCTGTCAGCTTTCGGGGACTGGGCAATTGACAAAGACCAGCTTGGTCCTAGTGAATGGTAGGACACTCCCAAAACTTGAAGAACTGCTATCTGAAGCTATCAGAAATACTTACGCCAATATAGAAGGGGAACTTGGTAAAGGATGATGAGAAGTGGGGAAGGAGATTGGGTCCTCAGAGCTGAGAGCTTATACCCAGTAGAGGAGCCCAAGAAGAGCTAGACTGAGCCCTCTACACTTACAGTCCCATTTGGTCTTAACACTATGGCCTTTGTTTGCTCTGTGCTGCTTTGCCACTGCTGTTGTCTGCTCACTGTCCCGCCTGTTGCTCATGATAGCTCCTGTCCTTCATGTCTCTGGCCATGTAGACTCTCAGGCATCTTGTCCATTTTTAACCTGTGTTCTGCCAGTATGACTGCATAGCACAGTCATATTGAACAGGCAGGTGTGAATGCTGTTGATGGGCTGGTAAATCTGAGGGAGGCAGCTTCAGTGCTCTCAGGAACCCTTAGGCTCCAAAAATTTGCCTGCCTTGAGAGAAAAACAAACAGATCTTTTCTCTTTCCTTTATGGTACTTCTCAGAACAAAAGGAACTGAGTTAGGGCTTGAGGCAGCATCCCAGTGCATTTGTCTAGCCCGATTCTGGGGTTAAGAAAGTGAAGTTTGGCTGAAATAGCTCCTCAAGTTGCATTTTATTTTATTTTTACCAGTGGGTATTAGAGGCATTTTTAAGAGAACAGGATGGTAGCATAATTCAAACCTGCATTGAGCAGGAATATTGAAGAGTTGGGTGGTCACACTGGTGTGAGCTGAAGATGGATATTGGGAAAGGCTCAGGCCATTGGGGTAAAGATAACCAGATTGATCCAATTGGCCATGGGAACTTCGGCCACGGTCTTACAAGTGAGCAGGACAAAGGCCATGTTGTAGAGATGTGTTAACTTCCTAGGACTAAGTTTACTAAACTACACTGAAGCTATACTTTCTAGATCAGAAAAATTGTACACTACAGTTGAAGAGCTGAATTCTACTATGGATGGATGTTGTGAGCCCTTGCTTGGAAGCCTTCCCCTTCTAGCTTCCCCAGGGTAGGAAAGGTCTCCCACATTATGCAATAATAAAAGAAGCATCTGGGTCTTTGCAGCTGTCAGTTGTTTTTTCAACTCTAGGATCCATCTTTGGACCAAAAGTCTGGTGTGGGCCTAGGATGACATTGGCCCTTGATGCTAGAGTTGGCTGCATTCTCTCCTTACCTGCAGACTATGCACAGTTCCTGGAGCAGAGGGAGAGCTGGTGTGGCTTGCCCTGCTGAACCTTCTCAGCAGGAATAATAGTAATAAATGCACTTTTCACACTAAAGGTTTGTTAGTTCTCCTGTTACGCCTAGATCTTTCCCTAGTAGATTGCAAACTCAACAGTCTGTGTGATCCCAAAGCCATTCCACTGTAAATGCCTGGCAGTAAAGATGGCCCCAGACTGGGTTCCTGCCTGCAGTGTGTGTGGCGGTAGCCCATGTGCCTTTACCTAATGTCAGATTTGCAAGCGTTTAGTCTGTCTTTATGTTAGGGGGTCTTAGGAACTTCAGAGAGAGAACCGATGACAGTGGTTTTCTGCCCACCCCACACCCTGCAGGGACTTTGCTTGTGCTTGTGAATGGTGAGGGTGGGTGAGCTGCTGGTATTGCTGAAGGCAGGGAGGACCCTCACCTGCTTCATAGTGCACTCACTGAATTGGATTGGGGAAGAGACTGACTGTACTCAACGGCAAACTTGAAGTATTAAAATAAGGCTGTCCTCTACACACTCCCTAGTCACGCAGGATCCCTGGAGCCAAAACAGTATATGTTCCAGCTGCAAAGAGCAGACTGCTCTCAGCTTGCATAGCACCTTAGGGGAGGGAAGATAGTTGGATAGGTAACGGGGTGGAGGAAGGATGGGAATTTTGTCATCCAGGTGGCTTTAGGGTCCTAAGGAATAGAGAAGAATGGCACTGGGGAGGTCTGGATGGATCTGGTTTGTGTAGGAGTTCCCTGTAGATAAATTACTGGTCCCCCAACCACTATCCCCAGTATGTAATGGCTGAATTAATATGTAATCAATTGCATTGTATCTAAAGCCTTAGAACTAGTCAGGTGCTCCTCCCACCCAGTACCATTTCTTACCCTCTAATCCTACCTGATCTTTAACAAAGCATTAATAATTCTAAGGATAATCTCTATTTTGTTGTGCTTTTTTGTAACTGTTTTAAATAAATCAATTTGTACTGTATATTTGTACTTTTGTGAGATCCTTTTTGCTGTTTTACCATTTTAAGTCTCTGTACTTGGCTACACACAGATTGTATTTTTATTGTTAATGCTCTCTTCTTATGGATACCTGCATTTAACTTGTGGACTATGTAAACACAATATATATCAATATCTATATATCTATATATCGATCTATATAAACTACTAGCTTTTCCTTTTGGTGTTTGCGCCTTTTTCCTATCTCAGCTTGGTGGGTGGCCATCGGGTGGGATCACTTGGAGCACAGATGGTTCGGGTCACTGGTAAACTTGGCAGATGGTGGGACCCACCTGAACCATGTTCTGCTCCCACTGCTGTGGATTTCAGAGTCTGGGAAATCTACCTGTAGATTAAGTTTGACAGAATCAATCTCTAGAACCCATAGATGTCCTAACTGCTGATTTATCCACATGGTCCTTTTCTCTGGCATACTGCCACACATTGAAGTAATCCCAATCATAGCCGCTGCTTCTGCCTTAGGTGGCGAGACACTCAAGCACACTTATTTACTGTGTACCACAGCTATCCTGTGATTTATCAATTGTCTATCACTAGTATTACCAACATTTTTTTGACAGGAATTAAATAATTGGCTCAAGTTACACAGTAATAAGACTGGTTTGTTTTGTTTTTGGCTGTCCTTGAGCTCACTGTATAGACCAGGCTGTCTCTACCTCCCAAGTGCTGGGATAAAAGATGTGCACTGCCGGGCAGTGGTGGCGCACGCCTTTAACCCCAGCACTTGGGAGGCAGAGGCAGGCCGATTTCTGAGTTCGAGGCCAGCCTGGTCTACAGAGTGAGTTCCAGGACAGCCAGGGCTACACAAAGAAACCCTGTCTTGGGAGAAAAAAAAATGTGCACTACCACATCTAGCTTATTTGGGTTGGTTGGTTTTGCAATGATCAAAGCTAGGGCCCCCAGTATATTAGGCAAGCAACCACTGGCCTGGGGTTTTGAACCCACATATCTAATTCCTGAATTTGTACTAATTTAGAATGTTGTGGAAAGAATGAGCTAACCCATGTAAAGTGGACAAGGTATTCGTTGGAACACAGTGCATCCTGTCATTTGAAATAGTCCAAGGAAGACTTCAGTAGGAAACTCTGTGGAAGGTATTTGGATCAATTAAGGACTTAATCTCTTTTATCTCTTTTCAGTGCAACTCTTTGTTTGGCTTTTGGCTTTTTGTTTTCAAGACAGGATTTTTCTATGTAACAACTGGTTGCCCTAGCTGTCCTGGAATTCACTTTGTAGAACAGGCTGGCTTAGAACTCACAAAGATCTACCTGCTTCTGTCCTCCCAAGTGCTGAGATAAAAGGTGTGTGCCACTATGCTTCAATGTAATTTCTTCTGAGTATTTTTCAGCTGGTCAGGGAGGACTTACCCATAGTTTATTGGGATTTGACACTTTTAAACAGCCTTAGACCTACAGAGGTGGAGGAGGAATCCAAATGTCCCTGTGTCATTGGAAGAGGTCTACATTCCTGGCATAGTTATTTTTCTGGCAAAAGATTAACTAGGGCACATCCTTCTGGGCCTCAAGATCTATAAATACCCAAACTGTACATGAGCTTTGATGTGGACTAAGGGAAGTTGTATGCTTCTTCTTGTACCAGCACAGGGAGATGAGTAGCTCATCTTCTGCATACCACGGCAGCCAGACTGCAAGTGAGGAGCTCTTCTGTTCTAGTCTTCACCACAGATGACTCGAGCTCACCTATCACTAGTCCTCTGCTTGGACAGCCTAACTTGAAGAGCACTCTACCTCAGAAAAGAAGCCATCCGAAATACCGACAAGTCCCTGTAGAGCTCTACTGCCACACATCACTGGATGAAAACAGAAATGAGACAGCAGGGCCAAGGGCCAGTAAAGATAAAATTAATTTATTTGCCCTCACAGCTTCATGAAGCATACTGGGTCCTACAGTCCCATAATCCTGGCCTGCCACTGTAGGCTCGAGTCCAGGTTTCTGGAGTGCCTGCTCCCTTGTCCAGAGCTGCATTGAGCCCGGTCCCTCCTGACCCCCATCCTGTTCCCAAACGCAGAGGGTGCACAGGTTTCCCTGCAACCAACCTGGACCCGCCTGTGGCAGCAAGGACTGTGGCCTCCTGAGTGATTGCAGCACCAATCCCTGTGGGCTGGAGTGGATGGGAGGTCAGGCAAGAGGGTGTGGTTCAGTGCAGAGAGCTGCTGTTCTGTTCTTCGAAGGCCATTTTCCCTAGAAGCTGGCTGTCCAACTCTACCCCACCCACGGGCAACTGGAAGAAGTTCATTTCAGCTGCTAAGGCTGCCATGGCAGAAGGGTCCTGACCAAACTGCGCTCGCAACATCATGTCCATTTTCTCCAGTCTCCTCTTGAGCCTCTTAGCCTCTCGCTCTCGAATGAGTCGGGCCTGCCGCTTCTCTGGGGTCTCATTGGCCCGCTTCAGCCTCATGGCCTCACGGTCTCGCTGTAGCCTGCGAGCTCGCTGCTCATCTGTCTCTTGCATGCGCTGCAGGCGCTTGGCTTCACGATCCCTCATGCGTCTTACCTCCCGCTCCTCTGGGGTCTCATTGTCTCGCCGACTCTTCTTGGCTGTGCGTTCTCGTTCAAGTCGTTGCAACCTTACTTCCAAAGGTTCATTCTGTCGACGAAGGGCCCACTTGCGTACACTGGGAGTCTGTGTTTCCAGTAGCTTGCGGTAAGCAGCACAGTTGTTGCATACAAGCAGAATTCCAGCAGGGTATACTGGAGGACTACAGGCAATGTCCTTTCCTTCAGCACTGGAGGGACCCTCACTGTGGACTTGGGGCACGGATTCCATATTAAGTACTTCAGGAAGTTTCTCACTGAGGAGTAAAGATTTTTTGATGGTTAGTATTTCCCTGTAGCAAGTAGGTAACCTTACTCCTTAGCCACTAGGCAAACTGTCCCAGGTCTACCGCTTGGTTTGAATACTTGGAAGACCCCTTCTCTTCTTTGGACTAGGGTACCTACTATGTTTCAAGGGCTACCTTCAATTAGCAGTTGAGCTACCTGCCATAGAAGGCTACCTAGAATAACCCTGCAAGCCAAAGCCAGAATGGCAGGTTCTTAAGGAGCTGTGCAGGTCTAAGTCTGGTGTGTGAAGGGGCCTGGAGGTGGAAGTTTCCTTCACACGGGTACAATTAATTCACTGCCTTACCACCTCCTATCTGACATTGCCCATAAGGAAAAGTAGCTTGTGAATTGTACAAACAAGGCAGTGGGAGGAGGGCAGTGGTTTAGTCTTCCTAGAACACAGCAGTGTGTCCTTACACCAGGATCCTCTCAGCAGCATACTGCAACTGCTGTCTGTTTTATCATGAATGCTTTTGCATGTTCTGCATCACTTTCTAGTTGGAAATATTGACAGGGGTAAAAAAAAAAAAAAAAAAAAAAAAAAGCAATTCATTACCCTTGAGGGATATCTAGTGCATACTGTCTATCGTGTTTTTGGATTTTTTTTTTTCGGGGGGGGGGGTGTTCAAGACAGGGTTTCTCTGTGCAGCCCTGGCTGTCCTGGAACTCACTCTGTAGACCAGGCTGGCCTCGAACTCAGAAATCCACCTGCCTCTGCCTCCCAAGTGCTGGGATGAAAGGCGTGCGCCATCACCGCCCAGCAGCATACCGTCTATCGTATCGCTGAGTCTCATTGCTTTTATTTCCAGATTGTTCTGTTAGTTCATTTGATTTATTTATCTCATGTTCCTTTTAATCTGGGAAAGCAGCATCTTATACCCCATAACTTGCACTGAGCACAAGGTTAGGTGTTCTACTAACCTGTTAAAAGTGGCATGGCTAGTAAAACGGGCTCCACACACAGCACAGTTAGACCGCTGATCTTCTGAGTGGATTAGGAGGTGGCGACCCAAAGACCCTGGGGAGCTAAGGGCCCGTCCACAGACAGGGCACATGTAACTCTTGGCACTCACCACTGCTGCAGTATGCTGTAAAACAAAGCCTTAAGCTGTCAATTGCTTGTTTCCTTCAGGACAGTCTACACCCCTTCCTTTTCTTTCTCTTAGACTAAGGGGTTTGGAACTATTTGTTTAGCTCTTGGATAAAGCACAGCCTGTTGTGTTAGTGGATTTCTAGAAGAGCCTAGCCATTCAGACCATTGCACAGATTTTATACTGTGAGTTCTGGCCATATTCTGGGACACATGAATGGCTTGAGGAATAATGGAGTTCCAGAGCCCGCCTCAGAGCCTTAGAGGAATCCATGCTCTTGATAGTTTTGTCTTCCCTGGCTCATACTGTACTGATACAAGTGCCTTTTCAGAGTACAATGAAGGGGCTGGGCGGGAGTAGTTGTGTGTAACAAGTATTTATGGACCGTCTTTCCTCGAGCTTCTGAAGAAGTACTTCTAATAAACCAACTATCTTTACAGATACGATCTCTAAAGCCTGGTCCAACCTGGGCTGTGTACTGTTGTCTCAGAACACAGAGCACCAGGAGTAGGCCCACTCTTAGTTGTGTACCTATTAGTAGGAAATGTCTTATGTTGCTTTCCTTGTTTGTACTTTCACTGGCACCCCAAAATATGTCACTCTGTGTTTTATCTATGTGCCTGTAGCATGCCTGTACCTGTGCAGGCCATAGTATGTGTATGTGTGGAGGTCAGAGGATAACAAGGGCCATCAGTTTTCTCCTTCCACTGTGTGGGTCCTGAGGACTAGACTCAGGTCATCAGGCTTGGGAGCAGGTGCCTTTACCAGCAGAGCCATCTTGTTGACTTACATTATATAATTTATGTTGGCCCTACCCCACTTTAAAAAGCCATTATTGTTACGAGAAGTCCGTTTCTATTTCACTACTGATTGTATTAAACAATTTAGTAAAATCAGACCATGATACTTAATTCTACAGTGTATCTGTCTGGGAACTCAACCATTATGTTCTAAGATGCTCTGAGGGCTGGAAGGAGTCCTAGTAGAACCAATAACCTGAGCCTCCTTTGCAAAGGCCAAGGCCACTGCAGCGTCTGAGCTCTAAACTGCTGGCACTCAGTCCCAGAGCACCCTCCCCACTCCATACCTGGTACACATGTGCAATCAGCTGCTCCCGACTCCCACAGTCTAGCTGGCAGAGGGGACACTGGCAGAGTTCAAGTAAGGGGTCAGAATTTAGGTTTTCTGTGACCTGCAAATCCACCAAACAGGCAAGTCGTGAAGACTCTTCACTAGTCTCTTCCCTGCCCCCACCTCTTTCAATAGTCTTAGGTTCCCACTACAGACTGAAGGATAAAATATTGTTTGAATGAAAGAAATTCAATTTCTTCAATTTTCAAGGCTTTCTGCCCTAAGGACACGGGACTCTGCAGGGAAAAGACTAGATATGTAGTTCCCTTCTACATGTTCCTGGCATAAATCCTCAGGATACAATGTATTTGGAAACTGGTTCCACAAGATAGCCTGATTCTGATTGAACCTGAAAACCTCCTCCTGAGAAAGAGAAGCACTGAGCGAGAGCTTCAGGGGTGCGGGCTGGGATGGAGGCAGAGCTGCTGTGAGAGGCTCTGAGCAAGAGCTTCAGGGGTGCAGGCTGGGATGGAGGCAGAGCTGCCGTGCCGAGCGAGGGCTGTGTGTCACTTGCCTCACGTTCTACTAGTGCATCTCCACTACCAACAGGTGCTTCTGCATTTTCTAATTCTTTTTCCACTTTGACTACCCCACCATCTTCCTCTGATGTGTGGGAAGATACTTCATCTTGTGTGGTCTCCTCTTCGTCACCTTCACTGTCACCTAGAACACATAAACTGGTCACTTGTTCTGATTTTTATGAGAATACATCCTGAGCTGCTGTCCACTTAACAGTTTGCAGATACAATGAAAAACACATTTTCAGACTTCAGGTAATACAGTTGTATCAGCGCTTGGTGGGCACAAATCAGCTCTGACTACCATTCATTATGCTATGTATACACTACAGGGAGGATGTGAGGCAAATCTGCATTTAAAACAGTGAACTATCTTTCTACATTACCAAAATAGTAATTATTTTTTTTAAAAAAAAGTCTCATGTAGCCCAGGCTGGCTTCAGTCTCACTATGTATTCAAGGATGACTTTGAACTTCTGATCCTCCTGCCTCTATCTCCCAAGTGCTGTGACTATAGGCATGTATCACCATGCTTGGCAGAACCATTCTTATTCATGGTTCTCAGTATCTTAACACGTGAGATTGTACCTCCCGAAGCACACCATTCCAGACTCACTCCCACACACATAATCTGACTCAGCAACACCTTTTCCTGACTTTATTACTTACTTGTCTCCTCAGCCACCAATACAATTTTCCCATGCTGCCTCACACAGTTCTGCCCTGAGGCCACCAATCTCTTCTCTCACAACAAACATTAATGCATACTTCCATATATAGTAATAGAATTTTATTTCTTCTTATCAGTAAGGATATAAGAATCAATTAGTTTTAAATTATATCAGTTTATATGGAAAGGGCTATATATTACAATGGAAAAATAGAATCAGCATAGCAACCAACCCTGGAGAGTTCATATTTATAGGAGTAGAAGGTGTCCAAGTTTATCTTCTCTCTTTCTTGTCCCCTCTTTTGAGACAGTTTCTATGTGTAGCCTTGGCTGTCCTGGAACTCTATGTAGACCAGGCTGGCCTCATACTCAAGAGAACTTCCTGTGTCTGCCTTTAAGTGCTGGGATCAAAGGTGTATCTCACCATGTCCACTGTTAATACACTAGTAATGTATATTTTAAGCTAATAAAACCTGTTTGAGGTGGTTCTCTGGCTTACCTAATAGAAAAGTAAATGTGAAAGAAGTGGGGAACTATTGTTCCTCACCTTAGACAGAAGTAACTGTTTTAGTTTAGCAGGGAAGCATGTGGTTGTCAGGTAATCTACCTGTGGCTAATGAGTCTGCAAGGTTTGTGTGAGCTGATTTTGTCCATCATTTGTAAATAAAAATTGAGGGGGGAAATAATTGAGGGGAGCAAACACCCACAATAACAGATGATGTTTGGTGTGGGTGTTTTCAAAATCACAGAGGAAGCCCTGCCTGAGAGGAGTCATAGGTGATAGCCCTCCCCTTTCATTCCTGCTTGGAGTCTGGACTCCTAGGGCTACTGTGAGGAGTCTCAACAGATCCTGCATATACAGGGAGGCTCGTTCTCTTGCTCACAAGGCTTCTCATTCCTCTTCTGTTTTGCATAGTTTCTAAATCTGCAACACAAGATCATTTCTTTTTGGACAACACTGGGTTAAATTTCCTTTACTGACAAAATTCCTACCAGACGGCTCACTGGTGGCTATGCATGTCTATATTAGATGTATCAGTCATGTGGTAGACCTCATTTGGGTGCTAAGGAGTATGGTATGTTTTCGTTAAAGCTGTTTTTCACTCGAATCCATCTCAATTATGAAGGTCGGCCCAGATTAAGTCATTTCCTCACTAGCATCCAGTGCGGCACACTTGTAGGCTTAGACTAAGGCACTGCTGCATCAAACACTCTGCTGTAACTTGTGAATTACCTGACTATCTCTAGCAGGAGCATTTTTTAAAGCATGCTGTCTAGAAGGATGGCACAACATTTTATTCTTTTATAACAATAGCCTATTAGAAACTACTGTGTTCCATAGGATTCTGAGGAACTCTAGGGTTCATTTCTTTTTTCTACCTGATTAGTTTCGTGTTTGCACACATGCTTGCTATTGTTTAATTATTAGTTTGGGAAAGACTGCAGACTTTTCTATAGACTTCAGAACACACATACTGTCTCTCTTCTCTTTGTTCTCCTCTAGTTTTCAACTGGTTTAAAAACAAAAACAAAAACAGAGATTTCACTCTAAACTGACATTTAATAAAAATCAGTATCAAGTGGATAAAATCAGGAAAGTGTAGAGACCTTTCAGGGAACTGACAGAGCTCAGATTAGTCTATCCAGACAGATCATGGAACACACAATCCGTGAGCCTTAACTTGTAAGACGATTTTTGTTTTGTTTTTGTTTCCTTTTGATTTCCTAAGCACAGAAATCTAGCAAGGCCTTTGGTGTGGGAAAGGCTGGCCTCCAGCATTTTATATGCTACACAGTCACGTCACTAAGCAAATCTGTAGAACAGTAAAACCAGAGCCTCAAGCAGTAATTCATTAGTGCCACTCAGACTTCATTAACTATAAAGAAATAAACCTACAGCAAAGGGATTTTTTTTTTTTTATTTGACCTGGCCCACAAGCTGCCTGAACACTGTCTGTCTGTCTTAGAATGTCCTATATCACAATCATCATGGAACTATCTGTATATGGTACAGCAGTGTCAATTACTAGAGTCCATGAGTTATAGAAACATGCCAACTGTCCTCTCTCTGAGTGAACATATTCAGACCTGAGATCAATATACCTTCTTAGATCTTCCTCCCAACCCCCATGCCCCACCCCACAGCACACACTCTATTAGTTCCTCTCCCGTTGCCGAGTCATTACCAGAAGGTGCAGAACTCACTGCTACTGGAGTCCTGATCTCTCAGTTGTTGGATAGCTTGTCGCTGAGTGCCAAGGTCTCCAGGAAAGTCGCTTTTCATCATTGCCTGTCGGGCTTGTTCCTCTAGCCCAGCAAATACTTGATCCCCTGGTGGTCATAAGAAAAAATAGTCAGGCCACCAGTTGGGCAGTACATGCCTAGGCAAACTAGTTGGAAGCTCAGACCATTCAAAGATAGGAGAGAGGCAAGGACCCTGTGTGGCTTCATTCATCTCCAAGCAATGCTGCTAGCTCCAACAGTTTCTGGGTGTAGCTGCTCTTTCTGGGCAGTTAGCTTATCTTAAATCTTCCTATTCTTGATCCTTGGAAGGTGATTAATCGCTACTTTACAAACTTAACTGCAGAATCTCAATTCCACTACAGCCTTCCATTAGGATTGGGAAGACAGAGGGAAGAGGAAGGACAGTGGAATGGAGGCATGGCAAGAGACTGGGCAAACTCCCATCTTAAGTTACCGTTAGCACAGCTTCAATTCACTCTAACTCATTCATCTCACAAATGCTTCTGCAATCCTGAGTAAATCACCAATCCCATCTTTCTTCAACACTCAGTCCAAACTATGTCCTGGTCGTTTCTCCTGCCTTGCTCTAATGTCTACCAGAACTACCACAATAAACATGACTGGCTAAGTAACAGATGGGGAGAGGACAGAAGGGGAGAGGAGAGCAGATAATAGTCTAACTCACTGAAACCAATCCCTGAAACACACCGACTAACTACAACAAATACTACTTATCCAGCCAGTGTGCTTGGGTCAGTGTGGCCTTGTGGCCATCCCTGACTTTGCATTTACTTTTTATGAACTCTGCCTGTGATCCATGTTATTGAAAAGTTAACCTGCAAGAGCCTTTTAATTTCCAGGAGCTAGGTATATAGAGAAAAGAGAGATAGGTTTCTCTTATCTCATTAAGAATGGAACTACAGGCCCAATTCCCCAGTCAACAAGGGAGTATAATCAAAAACCCCAGGGAAATGTTTATAGACCAGGCCCTTTCTTACTGAAAAGGGAAAGGACAGTAGACAGGCTAAGATTTGGGAGACAGAGTATAAGGTTAAGGAAGTTGTTTCTTGGTCAGTGTAAAAACTGATGAAGGAGTCAGTCAATTCCATGTAATTTATTTGTTCACTCATTCACAAATAATCCTTAAACACTGCTACCATATGCTAAACACTAAATGTCAATTAATCACTACATGGTATGTGCTAGTCCAGGCTTTATAAGTACTATGTAGATAGTCCTCACCTTAATTCATTCCCCCCCTTTTTTTTTTTTTTTTTTTGAGACAGGGTTTCTTTGTATAGCCCTGGCTGTCCTGGAACTCACTCTGTAGACCAGGTTGGCCTCGAACTCAGAAATCCGCCCGCCTCTGCCTCCCAAGTGCTGGGATTAAAGGCGTGCACCACCACCGCCCGGCTCATTCTCTTTTTTAAATGTAACTTTTGATTACCTGTGTGTAGGGAGGTATAGATGTACCATGGTGCATCTGTGGAGGACAGTGGACAATTTTCTGGGTTTTGGGCATTGAACTCAGGTTGTGATGCTTGCATGACAAGCACTTTAACCCACCAGCATCTGGTCCCCTCACCTGATTCTCTATATGGTAGGTATTCTTATCTACCTACCTACTTACCTACCATATACCCATACTATCTGTATGTTGGTGATGGAGGGATAGCTCAGCAGTGAAGAGTGTGTATTACTGCTCTTGCTAACTTTGGTTCCCAGTTCCTCATAGCTCCTGCTCCAGGGAATATGATGCTTCTGACCTCCAAAAGGACTTGCACTCACATGATCATAAACCAACAAACACATACTGAACATAAATCACTTTCTAAAAATGGAAGAAAACTAAGGTCTATGGTGAGACCAAGTATTGAGGTCTATACAACCCTAATGTTTTTCTGGGCTCCCATTCTTGATCTTTATTTGTCTGTTTCTCTTGGGATAGGCATTAAAGCCTACAGTCTTGTACATCGCTTCTGACCCTCAGCTATAACCCTATCCCCCGAAGTCCCGACTTCCCGCGTGCTGGGAAGCGGAGGTATGAACTGGATGTGACAGGGCTTCACGGTTGCTCTCCGTGTGGTAGACTGGCTCTCATCACAATACTGCTAAATCTCAGATCAGGCAACAACTCAAATATCAAAATCATCTTTCAAGGCCACAGTATGACTAAAGGAAAACAGAGTTCTGATAGCGCTGCCTGAGTCACCATGCCTGGATTAGAGACACTGACACGGTGACAGTCATGACTGTGTGCTAATGGAGGTGGAGAGGGTCAGAGTGCTTCCCTAGGTATACAGACCTCGAGGAAAAGAAAAATTAGGTGCTTTAAAACCATGTTCACGTTTTTGTTGTTGGCTTTTTTTTTTTTTTTTTTGAGATGGGTTATCTCTAGGTAGCTCTGGCTGGCCTGCAATTCATTATGTAGAACAGGCTAGGCTTGTATTCACAGGTAGATATCCACCTCTACCTGCTGAATGGTGAGATTAAAGGTGTGCACCACCATGCCCAGCCTGTGTTCACAATTTCTAAGGCAACACGTGGGCTATAAGTTACTAAGACAATAAGTTATAAGAGAAGGCAAAAGTACGCTGTACAGAATGTTTCTCTTCCTTCTTTGCAAAAGTATTTAACTTTTCCAGTTGATTCCACTGAAACACCAAAACCATGGCCAACTCTAATAGTGAATTCCTCTACATTGGTTCATGTTTTTGGAGCTAAGGGCCAGAGACAGATCAGGCTCTAAGAAAAAAATTACTGTCAGTAACTCTCATCAGAACACCTCAGGTCGATAAAGAAGCTGGATTTAAAACATGCCAGAAATGAACAATAACAATTTTTCCTGTCATACTGCACTTGTGGACAAACATGTAGAAGAAAGGTAGAGATGGCTTGGCGGTTCAGAGCACTGATCGCTCAGCTAGAGGACGCAGGTTTGATTCCCAGCACCCACATGGTGGCTCACAACCATCTGTAAACTCTGGTTGCAAGAGATCCAATACCGCCGGGCAGTGGTAGTGCATGCCTTTAATCCCAGCACTTGGGAGGCAGAGGCAGGCAGATTTCTGAGTTAGAGGCCAGCCTGGTCTACAGAGTGAGTTCCAGGACAGCCAGGGCTATACATAGAAAGCCTGTCTCAAAAAACAAAACAAGGCCGGGCTTTGGTGGCGCACGCCTTTAATCCCAGCACTTGGGAGGCAGAGGCAGGCGGATTTCTGAGTTTGAGAGTTCGAGGCCAGCCTGGTCTACAGAGTGAGTTCCAGGACAGCCAGGACTACACAGAGAAACCCTGCCCCCAAAAAAAAAAAAAAAAAAAAAAAAAAAAAAAAAAAAAAAAAAAAAAAAAAAAAAAGAGAGATCCAATACCCACTTCTTCTGGTCTCAATGGGTACCAGGTATGCAAGGCAAAACACCCATACACATAAAATTAAGCTGAATTTTAAAAGATACCTAAGCCGGGCGGTGGTGGTGCATGCCTTTAATCCCAGCACTTGGGAGGCAGAGGCAGGCGGATTTCTGAGTTCAAGGCCAGCCTGGTCTACAGAGTGAGTTCCAGGACAGCCAGGGCTACACAGAGAAACGCTGTCTCGAAAAACAAACAAACAAACAAAACAAACAAACAAAACAAAAAAAAACACTTAAAAGATACCTAAAAGCAGATGAATCTTTCTAAATGAGCCAGTAATTCAGCTTAATCTTTATCAACATGAACTCAAAATTCTACCAAGTTAACTATTCAGACCTTTGTAGAACAGAGCGGGGGTCTCTTCACTACTGCCTACCTAAGATTCTTTCTGTCATTCTCAGCTAGGGAACTTGGGATACATTATTTTTCAGCAGTTCAGAAACTCTTTTATTGTATTCCTGACTAGAAAAGCCTAAAACAAATATTATCCTTTAAGGCTGTTCCTATTTTAAATAGCAACATAAAACAATATATTTGTATTTTTAAATCTCAAAGGTGATTTTATCAAACTTCCTAACAAGAGTAAATGATTTGTCCAGTAGTTACTTTTATCTAATCTCCAAATCCAACTGTCCAGAATTATCCTTTGGAGAAAAGGTAGTGAAAGCTGCTAAGAAATGTGTCCCACTGGGGCTGATGAGATGGCTCAGTAGCTAGAGGCACTGTCCACTATGCCTGAATTCAATTCCTGGAACCCACATGGTTGAAGGAGAAGACCCACACTTGGCAGCTGTCCTCATGTGTGTACTGTAGCATGCCCTCTCTTCCCCATACACAAAAAACTCTAAGAAATTTATATGTTAGTATGATGCAGATATTTGTGACTAAGAAATGTAGAACTGCCTTTTTTAAAAGTTATTTTTATTTTAGGTGCATTTATGCTTTGTCTACATGTATGTCTGTGTGAGAGTGACATATCCCCTAGAACTGGAGTTACAAACAGTTATGAGCTGCTATGTGGGTGCTGGGAACTGAACCCAGGTCCTTTGGAAGAGCAGCCAGTGCTCTTAGCCAGAGCCACCTCTCAAGCCCCGTGAATTACCTATTTTTATAATATAAAATTATTATTTCTATCTTGAGACTGTTAGACTACGTTAAAATTCTCCAGCTCCCAGATATTAATGTAGGGTCGCCCTCTTCTTACATGTGGGCATTTATCTGCCTATCAATAGCAAGGTTTCACAATTAACTCCAGGCACTCTTTTTTCTCCTTTTCTTTCTCTTTAAATTTGATATGAAATGCAGAGTGTTTATCTTACTTTTGCCTAGGGATTCACAGACCAGTGAATAACAAGGCAATGAAAGCCAGTTTGAAAAAGCTGAAAAGACCAAAAGTCTTCGAAGGACAAAGATTTTGCTCTTTTTTCCTTTGGGTCCTTAGTATAGTTTAATAAATGCAAGTCTGGACTTCCTGAAATTACCCAGTTGAACATATTCTCTAAGTGAGCAGATGTCTGTTCAGAAAAAGCAGCAGTGCGGGAGCGAGGGTGGGGAAGGGATGTGGTGAGAGGCGCACAGCAGATTCCTTCCCAGCTGGCACTCTGAGTAGTGCTATCTATGTGGGAAACAGCAGTTCCATCCCAGGAAGGCCAGCAGCATGAACTGAGACAACACCCTCTGGCTTCTCAGAAAGGAAAGGACCTGGATGCTTTTACACGCAGAGCTTCTGCTGTAGCTCTCCAGCCTCAGTACCTGCATCCTGAGAGCCAAGTATCGGGAGCGAGGTTTTTTACTTGGTGGCTTCCTCGATTTCAAATTCTCCAGAGAGTCAACAGACTTGTGCTCAGAAAGGGAAGAAACAGGAAAGCAGGTAAGGGAGAAGGCCTGAAACACAAGGTTTCAACTCAGTGGCAACTTCTTTATAATGAGTAATTCTGGGGTTTTATTCTAAAATTTTGCATTGAGTCTGCTAAGGAGATAGGGATGGGCTGTTTGGATGGTTTAGATAGAAAAACAAAGTGTGTGCTAAAGAAGCCTGCCACTGCTTTTGGAGGACCCAGGTTTGAGTCCCAGAACCCACATGGTGGCTCACACCTTCTCTAACTCAGAGACTAGAGAAATGGCTATACTTCAATCACAACACCTACTGTTTATAATAAAACATATACTGTTTATATCCAGTTGTAGGGGATCTGATGTCCTCTTCTGGCCTTTGTGGGCACAAGGCATGTATGTGATGCACAGACAGATAGACAAAACACCCATTTTATACTATGTAACATATCAATAAAAAATTAAAAATCAAAGACAGGGCCTGAAGTTTTCTGACTCTAGTAGCAGCCCAATTTGTCTTGGTTTTGGCTCTCAAAGGTGGGAGGGGCATGTACCTAATGGTCAGGAGCTATGGAGACAGAGGCCCAGGGCACTCAAGCTTTGCTAGTTCTCTGGCTTTAGGACAGTTGAGCCTTGGTGGGTGACATAGACAGCAGACACTTCCCATGTCTCTGTACATGCAGGCACACTGCATCTGCTTCAGCAGCAACTTCAAAATCTTCCTAAACTCCTCACCTTTCTATTAAGCAACCTTGGAAATCTACCTATCCCAGAGTAACAGCTAGAAGCACCTGCCTGGATCTATCTTATTCAGCATTTCCAGGATGTAAACAACGATCATATATGAAAGTCTGGGTATTTTCATATCATTATCAGTATCATTAATGTAAGATGTCACAGCTATCATCGCTTCTTTGATCACAATGTTTTCAATAAATTTTAGTTACTTTAATTCTTACATAATAACTCTTCTCCAATATTTTTCTTTACTTGTTGCTTTAACAAGAAAGTCTTACAGGCTGAGGCTGCCGCAGGGTGGAGGAGTACCTGCTGACCATGTGTAAGGCCAGTCACAGAAAGATCAGCTGACCATGTGTAAGGCCAGCCACAAAAAGGTCACGTGCATTTCTGAATTTTCTGCTGCTGTACTGGACTTCATATTAGCCACCTGTCTATTTCATGAATGTTGAGTTAGCAATGTTTCTCTAGCCTGAAAACAGAAAAATGTCTAATTATCACCAATCTCATAGTAACTAATTATTTGGTGTGTGTGTATGTGTGCGCACAGAGGTCAATGCAGCTCTCTACTGCTCTGTTTTTTGACAGGGTATTTAACTGAAACTAAACCTTGCTGCGTAGTCTAGACTATCTGACCATCAGGTCTCCAGAATCCACCTGTCTCTGGCCCCTCCTCCAGCACAGCGGTTACAAACTCATACTATTACACCTATCTTTTTTAAAAAAATGTATTATGCTTGTACATGTATGTGAGCATGTACTTGAGCATGTATGTAGCAGGCTAAAGGACAACTTACAGGAGTTGGTTCTTTCCTTCTACCGTGTTGGTCCCAGAAATCAAACTCAGACTGCCAAACATCAGCTGCCAAAGCAGGTTACCTGTTGAGCCATCTCACTGACCCCTAAGGGTTTTTTTTTAATTATTATTTTTAATTATTTTACTTTTATTCACATGGGTTCTGGAGACCTGAATTCAGGTCCTCATTCTTGTACACTAAGCACTTGTTTTGGTTTTTGGTTTTGTTGCTGTTTCGCACTATATAGAAGGGACACACACTGACACACAGAGTCTCAGGGCTTTCCTTAGCTGAGGAGAGGATTCCACAACCCCTCTCTTATATCCTTAAAGCCAGACCCATGTGGCTAAAACTGCCCAGTTCTGCTGCTTGATGGAGCTTGGAACTTGGGCCCCTGTCCAATTATATTTGTATCAGCTTTCTGTTGCTGATGCTTTCCTATACACTGCTGAAGCTTTCCTTAAGTCTTTTTCACAAGTTAAAAATTTAGCTGGATGGGGTCTTACTCTGGGTCACCTAGCCTGTGACTTTGAACAAATAAAGCCTCTGCTAGAACTCTCTTCCTTCTCCAGCAGACCACGCGCATTCCCTTTCTTTCTAGGTCCACCTTTCCTTCTCGAAGGTCCTGTTTAAGTTCACGGTCTAGGCCTCCTCCATCAAGCACTCCATTGCTACCCCAGGTACTGAAACAATCCTATTTGTAACTTCTGTGGTAATCTATACTGCCCTTATTAGGCATATAGCATATATTTTTATGTTTTTTGTGTATGTATGTGTAGCTGCATTATAGTTATGTTATATTGTTTTATAGCCTTAATACCTAATAGACTTTTTCACAAAATAAGTTTCCCGTAATTATTAATATTAAGGATGAATCAAACCTATACATTCTCCTTGGACAAGTTAAACATCACTCCAGTAACTTCATACTTCAAATCCATAACTGGAAATCTTTAACCCTTTCTTCTCTTCCACAAATGAGTGTAGTCCTCTCCCCGAAAATTTAGGTTTCTCTTTCATTCCAACCCAGGTTTCAAAAGACAAAGCCCAGTACTCACAGTGAACTTTATTTGGATTTGTCTGTTTCCTACGGGACATGTTTCCCTGATATACAAGCTCAGTTCTTTCCCAGTTTCACCCCTGGACAGGTCACTACCTCCTTATAAGGTGCAGACCTGCAAAAATAAAAAAAAAATAAAGAACAATATTGTTAGCCTGTTATTCTTCCCAGAAATTACAAAATTAGAACATTTAAGGACCTTAAAAAATACCTCTTGAACATATAAAACTCAGTAGATATAAATAACTGAGCTAATGAAATGAAAACAGTAAATCTCGAACCCAAAGTGGAGGACCAAGAAACTTGAGAGGTGACTACTTTTAGAAGACTTATGAGAATTCTTCCATAAAGCCGTCTTTGGAATCCAGACTACTACTAAGTGGTCACAGGCAAGATCACAGGACAGAAAAGGATGCGAATTCAGGCAATCAAGGTTAGAAGTATTGTGGGATAAAAGGATTACTCCCACAGATGTGAAAGAAAGGAAAAAGACGACAGAAGACCAGTAGCAGCTGACCCGTCACATGTGCAACTGGAAGTCAAGGCCTGCAGTCTGTATCTCTAGATAGTTCTCTAAGGAACGATGCTTAGAGGTAGTGAAGGTATCACTTTTCTGCAATACAGGCACACTACCAGGCCCCTAGCATGACACGAGAGCAAATCTAACTTCTGCCACTCAAGACAGGCTCACCAGAAGAGTAGATGCCTTTCACATGCTAGAGTACTAATTCAGTCTCCCAAGGTAGAACACCGACTGCCCCTGCTCAGATGCTTTGGAGAAGTCAAAAGTCCTAATTTTATAGCCTCTTCTCAATTCTGCTGGGTAGCAAGGAGACCAGGGAGGAATAAAGAGCAAAGCTCCCTATACAAGAAGAGCAGCACAGATGTGCACCTGCCCTTCTGATGGAGACGCAGACACATTCTTAAACCTGGAGGTTCTTTGTTAACGACAACACTGGTTCAGCTAATAGCACTGTAAGAGACTCTGAAGTGGATTACTTGCAGAAGCTGTGGTCGTTTCTTTACAAGACAGAATGAGGACTGGGGATGTGTTATATTGGCAGAGCGCCTGCCTAGCATGTGTCAGGCTCTGGGTTCAATTCCCAACACCACAAAACAAGACAAACAAACACACCAGAGTAAACAAATGTTAACGGAAGAGGTAAAATTCTTTTTTTCTACCTAAGTTAGGGATGTGGGTTTAGTCATTCCCTGTTTCCTTTCAGTTCCTGCTGTCTTAAATTGGACTCACATATAGAAATATATAGTTCATTGCTTTAAGACAAATTACTAGTTGTACTGTGCACTCCAGTTAAGGAAGCTCACCTGAAAATGCCAACTAACTCCTCTAAGTAGCTAGAAGGCCCTCAAACTTGTAATCAGATCCTGCCTCCCCTTACCAAAAGAAGAAAGAAACCGCAAATGGCAAAGACAGGCCTCCACAGGAAGTGGCAAAGGAAGCAGCTTTCAGGCAGTCTTCTATCATATCTGCATACCAAAACAGTGCTTTTCAGACCTTCCATTAAAAAAAGGAAAATAACTCCTAATACCTACAACAGAAGAAATTTTAGAGAGCAGCATCCTGACATCTAATAAGAGGGTATGTATTCTCAGTTTTCTTTTTCTTTTTTTCTTGGAGATAAGTGTTTCATGTATCCTTAACTCATCTTGAACTGGATAAATCGCCAAAAATGATCTTGAATTTCTGATATTCCTGCCTCAACAGAATACAGGCAGGTGCTGTCCCTGCCTCCACGCCCAGCTTTACATGGTGCCGGCTGGGGACTGCACCTAAAGCACTGTGCATGCTAGACAGGTCTTTGTGCACAATGGGCAAGCACTCTACCAACTAAGCTACACCCCCAGTTGTAGGGGGTGGTCATTCCTTTCCCCCTGCCCCTTTTAGAGATTGTATCTTGACCTCAAACCCCTGGACTCAATGACTCTCCAGCCTCAGCCTTCTGACTAAATGGGATTAGCGGTATCACTACACTTGGGTTATTCTTCCGAGCCATCTTAATATAAGCTGTGAATGAATAGCACACTTTAGGTCTTTCTCTGTGTCTTCGGACTCCCAAAGGGAAAGCTGAGTGACAGCTAGATTGGCTATTTGTCTACACTTCTCTACTGTGTGACAAATGAAACCTCCTCTACATTTACCTCTATAAAGATTAGGAATGGAAGCTATGAGACTGAGGTAATAAAGTCTGTCTGAGGAGTGCCAGGCTCTGTTTAGATCATCTTGGCAAGACACCGGTGCAATAGTAAAGCTACAAGGCAAACAGATGAAACCTGCAGCCACAGCAGAGCCTCTGCCTCTCACCGTCCTCCTAGTGGCCCAATGTGGAACTGACCAGATGGTCCCTCCTGGGACTTCACACCTGAGGGATCACGGCAAAATAAACACACACCCTCCCTTCCCACAAAACAAAGCCAAGCCACAATAATTGAAACACCCACTAGAAAGAAAAAGCCCAGAGGAGGAGGGAAATCCTTGAAAATACATAGGGAAGCAGACAAATGGTACCGGAAGGCCACTCCTGACCCAAACAACACAATATCTGAGGTTAGTTTTATAGGTTGCAACCTTATTAAAACAAAACCTCATCGGTACAAAAGGTCACTCGGTCCCTTTTGCTTTCAGCACTGCCCAAATGTGAAACTTAAGCTTGGGATGTAACTGGATAGCTTGCTGCCTGAACATCTTCAGCTGGGAGGAAACTGGGAAGAACGGTAAAACGAGGATCTGACCTACAAGGAATTCGACTTTTAAAGGGAACAGGGGATTTTGTTTTTTTGTTTTTGTCATCTATAGAGCCACAGTCAAGAGTCCTCGGGAGGGACGCACTGCCCAAACCCCCCTTCATTCTGGCTCTGTTCTCTCACAGGTGTTAGGATGCAGCTTCCAAGGCACACGACAGACTTGTGTGTGGGTGTGGGTGTGTGTGCCCTTTTCCAGCCTTAAGAAAAGAGGGTGCATTCCCACCTCCAGCTCTGGTGAGGTTCCCACGGAGCAAAGTAAACTCGCCCGAATCCGAGTGATGTGAAGCTGCCAAAAGGGAGAAAAGAAAGATGATCATACAGACGTTTCACTGTGCCTGGGTCCTCTCGGGTCGGAGCTGGAGCCCGGGTGTGCCGTCAATTGAGATGGTGTCTCTGGCTTTTTCAAACAGGGGCACAGGAAATCCCAGGTAATCAGACTGGAGTCAGAGGTCTCCCGACGCGGCTCTGACCAACCCTCAGACCACTTAGCCTTCTCCGAAATCTAAATTTAGTAGCTCCTCCGCCCTCCCGCCCGCGCCAGGACTGCCGGGGCCCCCCGCCCCGTCCGCTCTCCCACGCCCATCCTCCCCTCCCCCAGCTCCACCCCAGCCTGTCAGACGCCGGCCCGCGAGGCCCGCACCCAGCCGCCGCAGCACCCAGCCCGCCCCTTCCCAGGAGCGAGCAGACAAAAGGCGGGCGGCGGCGCGGGCCGGCGGGAGCTATGCGGGCTGCTGGCTCCCGGCGCGGGGGCGCTTTACCCGCAGCCTCGGCGCTCCGCGTCCCTGGGCTCCGCCTCCGGACGGACAGATCGCGGGACAATGGGCCCCGGCCACAGCTCGGGCTAGCCGGGCCGGGGCTCCCTGGGACCGGGCCCCGGCAGGCAGAGGGTGGCTGCGGGCCGGGCCGGCGGCGGGGAGGCGAGGGGCGGCGCAGCGGACAGACAAAGCCAACGGCAGACAGACGGACGGAGGGGGAAAAGATGGCGACGCGGACGACGGGAGCGCGCTGTTCGCGCTCTCGCAGCGAGTGGGGCGCGTGCCGGAACCTCACCTCTCTCCTCCCGCCGCCGCCCCGACCCCTCCCGGCTCTCGAGGCGCGCGCCTGGCGCTGTGGGCGGGGCCTCGGGGAAAGGGTCCGGGAAGGCGGGACTTAGAGAGCATCCAATCGCGGGCGTTCCGGGGGGGCCCCGCCCGCGTCCTGGCGACGCGCAGCCGAGCATCTGGGGGCTTTCGGAGGTATCCCTAGCGCTGCCACGCACCTTTAGAGCGGGTGAACTCCACTCGGCTGTCATCTCCCCACTGGTTTCCTCTCCCAACATTGAGTTCAGCCACAAAACCCACATCCCCCAACCACAGCTCCGCCGCAAGTTTCCCCATCTCCGTAGCCGAACCTGAGCCACCCGTCCCATAGTCACAAGCCCTCTTCACTCATACAAGTCCCACGGCTTCTGCTCCCGAGGCATTTAATGTAACCAAAGAGGGCCCACAGCTTCTGTGAGAGGGACTAAGCTGTCAGGTGGTCATAGACACAGGACCTAGGTAGCTTGTGGTCCTTGTTGCTATCTAAAGGATATTTGGAAAGGCTGAGCGTGGTTAGACTCACTTCGTTCTAACGCGACTCCTGTTACTGTCTGCTTCATTATTTCTCCGTTGCCCTCACTTCTTTCCCTTTATTTGGACGGAAACCCCAAACCTACCTCTGAAGTCTCTCCGTAGAGCAGTAAAAAGAGGAGCCCTGTTTATAGAAGGCCCAACTTTCAGTCCCAGCTCTGCCGCCGACCAGTCTGTTCACTTCGGGCAAGTCACTTCCCTGTTCTGGCCCTCTCCTCTTGAGAGTTGTGCTAGTCATGTAAAACAATCTCTGAAAGCCCTGTGCAAGTTCTCTTATGATTTGCAGCTTCACAAAGGCAGAACAAACGAGAGTGCTGACTCTTGCTGATAAAATGACTAGTCAAAGTATTTGCATAAAGCATTCTTGCAAATTCTTCCTTCCTGAAATCTCCAACGAGATGCCATTGCCTGTATCTTGTAGAATGTGCTAGAATGGCTGAATTGAAGAATCTTGGTCCTTGACAATGCTGTAGGTAAATTGCTCTTGCTTGCTTGATTATGACTGGAATGTTTAGATATGAGTTACTATTCAATATCAGTCAAGAAAACATTTCAAATTCAAGAATTTGATTTGTACACATACCTAGGAAATGAAATATTCTCACCAAACTGGCTTCTAGACTTTTGTGTATGAATATAAGCTGAAATAACAGTAATTTTAAGACCTCAGTAATTCTTGATGACCTAGACTTAAGAGATGCAGCATGGCCTTGTTAGATCACTTTGAAATTGACCTGGCAGACCTTTTCAACGAGAAAATAGCTGACTGATAAAGTCAGCCTCCAGTGAAATGTCTTGAGTTTATTATTGAATTGTTGTGTAACGTTAGACAGCTTAAATTCAGGGGTAGACAGGACCTGGGTTCACTCCACAACAATTGTGTAGGGGGTGCTGGTCTGTTTATAACTTGGGATAATAATGCTATTCTTGTAAGTTTCCTGTGTTCTTAAAATGTCTCCACAATGTTGTGATTCAGGTCCATGATCAAATAGTGAAAAGCATACTCACTTTACCTCTGCTTCACCTAAACTCATTCTAGATCTGGAAGACTTCCTAAAGAGTGATAGTTTTTTGTTTTTTGGTTTTTTTTTTTACTATGTTTGTGCTATGGCACATGCGGGTGCATGGGTTTGTGCGTGAGTACAAGCACTCATCCATAAATGTGCAGGTCACAAGACAACCCATTGCCACTCTGTCAACCAAGCTGCCCTGGGGACTTCTGGAGATTTTCCTGCCTCTTCCTCGCATCCACCTCAAGGGGTACTAGCATTAGAGATGCTTTCGCTTCCACATCCAGCTTTTGTGTTGGTTCTGTGATTTGAACTCAGGTTATCAGGATTGTTCTTTGGGATAGTGAGCACCTTACCAACAGCCATCTCCTGGGCCCAGGTTTACCCTGCCCACTTTGTCACTGTGCTTGCCAAGTACTTGTCATGCCATCTTGATCACAGGGCTGAAATATCTTCCCAATCCATCTTTCCCCTTTTGCTGTTTAGTTTGATTTCTGTACTGGGGACTGAACCTATGGTTAGCCCATGTTAACTCTCTTACCCATCTGTTTGTTTGTTTGTTTGTTTGTTTTTAAACAAAACAAAACTTTGTAGTCCTAGCTGGCCCTGGTACTTGGCTATAGAATGAGACCTGGCCTCAAACTCAGTAACCCTGTGTGATGGCTAAACTTGCCAACTTAATAGGGTTTAGATTCTGGGTGTAAAGAAAAAAAATTCTGAGCATGCCTCTGAGGGATTATCAAGATTAGATTAATTAAAGTAGGAAACTCCATCCTACATGTGAGTGGTGTCAGTCCTTGGGTTGGAATCTTAGACCATTCATTTGTTGTGTGCCTCCTAACCATAGATGCAAAGTGGCCAGCTCCCTCATGGTCCTGCCTCCCTGCCTTCCCCAACAAGATGGACTTGTACCCTGGAACTGTGAGCCAAAAATAAACCCTTCCTTAAGTTGCTTTTGTCAGGCGTTTTGTTTCAGCAACAGATAAGTACTCTAGTTGTTGTTGTTGTTGTTTTGGTTTGGTTTTTCGTGACAGGGTTTCTGTGTATAGCCCTGGCTGTCCTGGAACTCACTCTGTAGACCAGGCTAGCCTCGAACTCTCGAACTCAGAAATCTGCCTGCCTCTGCCTCCCAAGTGCTGGGATTAAAGGCGTGCGCCACCACTGCCCGGCTAGTACTCTAGTTTTATTTCTGCTGCTGTGGTAAAGCATCTTGACCAAAAGTAACTTAAGAAATGAAGGGTTTATTTGGCTTACAGTTCCAGACCACAGTCCATCCATCATTCAGGGAATTCAAAACAGGAACTTGAAGGCTGGCCTGCTTATAGTTACCACACAGTATTACCTCAGACCAAGGAATTCACTTTACAGTCAAAGAAGTTCAGTAGACACTATGGAAGATGCTGTTTGCAGGCTCCTAAGCAGGTTTTTGCTCAGCTAGTTTGCTGATGCAGTTCAGATCACCTACCTAGGGAGCAGTGCCACCATCTACTAACAATCAAGACAATCCTCCACAGACATGCCCGCCAAGCCAATGTCTTCTAAAGAATTCGTTTAGATTCTCTTCCCAGATAATGCCAAGGACCATCTTTGGCATGGAGAGGGGTTCTGAGAGAAGAGGTGTCTGGGAGTGTCGAAAAGAAATGACTTGAAATCAAATCGTAGGTCCAAGCTGGCAGCTTAGGTTCTGATGGCTTTCCAGGCGCTCTCTCTCTCTCTCTCTCACTCTCTCACTCTGTCTCTCTGTCTGTCTGTCTCTGTCTCTCTCTCCGTGTGTGTGTGTGTGTGTGTGTGTGTGTGTGTGAAAGAGAGAGACAGTGTGTGTTCTGTTCTGCTCTAAACAGCTTTTTCTTGCCATTCTAAAAACTTTGGTGGAGACAGCTCTCTCTGCTAGTAAAAACTCTAAAAGCTATCTGGATAGCTGATGACTTTTCTGACCAAGTCAGAAATACTGCTATTAAAATTATTGGATCCTCTGAACAAGTCAGAAATCCTGTTAAGAAAAAATTCCTGAAGAGCTATGTTGCTCTCCAGATCTCCAGATTGCTCAGCTCTCACTGGTAAAAATTCTAAAGAGCTGCTATCGGTTTTGCTAGCTCACCTCAGGCAGACCAGAGCCCGGTTTTTATTTACATATCAATCCAGTCATTTACTCCAGGTTTCCTTTTGATTATTTTTTGAATCAGCACCCAGAGACCCCAGCTCTTTGATTTTTTTTTTTTTTTTGGGTGGGGGTTCAAGACAGGGTTTCTCTGTGTAGCCCTGGCTGTCCTGGAACTCACTCTGTAGACCAGGCTGGCCTCGAACTCAGAAATCCACCTGCCTCTGCCTCCCAAGTGCTGGGAATGAAGGCGTGTGCCACCCCTGCCCGGCAGCTATTTGATTCTTATATTTTGGTTGTGAGCCTAGCCTTTAACGGCTGAGCCATCTCTCCAGCCCAGCTCTTTGATTCTTAAGAGACAGCAAGCATACATTTTTTCCTTAACATTGCAAATGAATTCAGAGATCTGTCTGTCTTCATTAAGCATAAATGATAAGCTAGCTGGGTGGGACTCTGCCCTGAAATTACCATTTCTACCACACCTGGGCCTACCTTACTGTGTGTCCCAGGCTGATCTTGAACTCAGGAATCTGCCTGTCTTTGTATCTTTCTGACAAGCTGGCTCATAGTGTAGCTGCCTTTGTTCCTTTAGATTCATGAAGCCCCCATAATTGATATTGCATCCTTATATTTTGCATAGTTGAGGAATCATATATATTTTGAACTCGTGTACTTAGAGCTCTTTTCCACAGCTTCAAGGCCTGTCCTGAAGGCCCCAGCATTTACTGTTTTGCTGAGAAATTAGCCACACCTTTGGCTCCTGGACTCATGCTGTCTCAGATTATTATGGAGTCCTTAACAATAACAGAGAGGACATTCCTCAGAGGACTGTGAAAATATGTGATTATTCTACAAACAAGCCTTACACCCACAGCAACCATCAACACTCATGGAGGCTCACCACGTCACTGTCCCCACCAGGGCCACACCAGCTTTGGCAAGATACTTCTAGGTTATGTCACGTAAACAGCTAAAGCTAACTGTTACAAGTAACCTAATGCATTCTAATTTTTTTTTTTTTTGGTTTCTCGAGACAGGGTTTCTCTGTATAGCCCTGGCTGTCTTGGAACTCACTCTGTAGACCAGGCTGGCCTCAAACTCAGAAATCTGCCTGCCTCTTCTGCCTAAATTTGAGGGCTGGGTACAAGAGTGTGCCACTGTGCCTGAGTTGTCATCTTATTTTATTTCTATGTGTATGGGTATTTTGCTTACATGTATATCTGCACAACATGTGCATGTTTGGTGCCCAAGGAGGCCGTAAGGGGGCATTAGGTCACCTGAACTGGAGTAGCAGATGGCTGTGTGCCATCATGTGGGATTCTTTCCTTAAACTGCAGTGGTTTGGCTGTCATA